CCTAGAATATATAATAAGAAAGTCGAAACAACTCACAAATTCCCTCTTGGGAAAAAACAAAAAAACAAAAAACCAAACAAAAACACCTTAAGGTCTGTTTTAAATGGAACATCAAGTAAATTCAAAAGTATCCTTAAGAAGAACTAGGGGACTGGAGAGATGGCTCAGTGGTTAAGAGCATTAGCTGTTCTTGCAGAGGACCTGGGTTTGCTTCCCAGAACCCATATAGTGGATAACAACCATCTGTAACTCCAGTTCCAGGGGATCTGACGCCCTCTTCGGTTGTCCACGGGCATGGCATAACACAGATGCACTTACATACGTGCAGGCAATACACTCATAAACATAAAATTAAAAAAGTGTTTTTAAAAAAGAATAACAAGGGGAAATTGTTTCTGCCTTGTTTTCTTTTCATGTGTTTAGGTTTAAAGAGAGTATTTATCTGACAGCATTGGCACATGGGTGATGACAAAAAAAATACTAAGTGCTGGACAGGGTGACTTCCCCTCAACCCTCTCCCGCTGTCAGTGAAATTAAGCTTGCTTGGTCCTAACTGTAGTTCCACGATTTCAATTCTCAGACTGGCCGCTGACTGTTTCTGAGAACCCTGAGTTTTCATTTCCTCTTTGGAGTCAAAGTTGCATGCAGGGCCTCAGTCATTGATCCCTGGTGTCTTGAGCCATGATCTTCACATGGCTGGTGAGGCATCCCGGAATCAGCAGGCTTTTAGGGGATTCTGTCTCCTTATAAAGAAAAGGATCACAGTATTCACATGTTTTAGCATGTTAAATCTCATTTGTTTGCATTTGTGTGTGTGTGTGTGTGTGTGTGTGTGTGTGTGTGTGTGTGTGTGTGTGTGTCTATGTGTCTCACCTACCTCTGGATACTCTTCTTCCCCTGTTGGCAAATCCCTCCTGTTCACTACATGTCTCCACCTTTCCCAAACCAGTTCCTGGACCCTTGTGACCAAGGAAGTCCCTGAATAGAAGATCATTTTAGTTTTGTCTTTTGTTTGTTTACTTTCATTTAAAGCTGCCCTTGCCTATGCTCTTGTGTTTTCATGAGTCCTCTTTGATGGCCTAAATTCTTTTTTAAAAATATTTTCATTCAATTTTTGTGTATTTCATACACAACATCTTAGCCTTCTTTATACCCCCTTCCCTATCAGCATCCTCTCATAGCCCCCCCCACCGGATTTCATGCATTCTGCCATTCATGTTAAAACCTATCGAGTCAAGTTAGTGTCCCCTGACGTCCCTCGGTACACATTCATCTATTGGAGTCCAATGTCACTCCCTTAAAGAAGATCAGGCGTGGCCTCCCAGGTCCTGCTGGGCAGGAGACTGAGTGCCATGGCAACCAGGTAGGCCGCTCAGGGCTGGAGATGGAAATGGAGATTGAGCACTGCTGATCTGAGTGCCAGTGGGAGCAGACCCCCGAGCTCTTCAAGCATCTGTCGACCAAGCTCAATGCCAATGATAACATCGAAGCTACAGTAGCCCTTGAAGGAGAAGCCTGTGCGGCAGAGAGCTAGTGCCCCACCCTCCGGACCCAGGTGACGGAAGTGCTTAAGCATTTGACTGTTGCCATGAGCCAAGGGACCCTCAAATCAGAATTCCTACAAGAATCCAGTCTGATCGTGGCCAAGTTGAAGCTGCAGATGACTGCGGAAGCCCACGCTACCAAAGATGAAAGGTTATCAGAGGAGAGTATTGAAGAAGACTTTGCCCTTGTGCATTTATGACGTGGTTCCTCAAAAATCTCACAAGTCAACAGCCAAGTGGATGATAATAACAATAATGGTAGCAGTGGCGCGGTTGCTGCTACTGCTCCTTCTGGAATGTCTTGAGGGACTCGAAGGCCTTCATGAGTTCTCCAGTGTGGCCATGGCAGCAGTCAAGAAATGAGTGGAGATCTGCATTGCGGGCAGGAGCAGAACCCAGGCACCCCCTCCCCATCTTGGGCATGTCCTCTCCATCCTGAGGATTATATCTGAAAGATTTTAAGCAGAGGAGCAAAATTTTAGTCAGCCAAATGAAGTAGCTTTGTTCCAGGGAATCTTCTGACCTCCACGGGCATTGTAGGACATGAGTGTATTTATATACACACAGAAAAAAAACCCCAAAAAACAAACCACTGTTTCAGAGCCTGCGGACTTCAGGAAAGAAAGACATCTAGAGCTGTGGTCCTCTCCTGTGAACTGGAGCTGTGGTCCTCTCCAGTGAGCTGGAGCTGTGGTTCCCTCCTGTGAACTGGAGCCGTGGTCCCCTCTGGTGAGCAGGAGCCGTGGTCCTCTCCTGTGAGCTGGAACTGTGGTCCTGTCCTGTGGGCTAGAGTCCTGGTCCTCTCCTGTGAGCTGGAGTTGTGGTTCCTCCTGTGAGCTGAAGTTGACATCCTCTCCTGTGAGCTGGAGCTGAGGTCCTCTCTTGTGAGATGGAGCAATGGTTCCCCTCCTGTGTGCTGGAACTGTGATCCTCTCCAGTGAGATGGAGCTGTGGTCCCCTCCTGTGAGATGGAGCTATGGTTCCCCTCCTGTGAGTTGGAACTGTGGTTCTCTCCAGTGAGTTGGAGCTCTGGTCCCTTCCTGTGAGATGTAACTGTGGTACCCTCATAATAATATGGACTCCTAGTCCTGGGAAAGATGATTGGAATGGATGGTGCTGGTTCAGATGCTCACCCAACTGTTGAAAATTAATGCATCTTTCAACTCTCATTGGAGAAGTTTCCTCATGCAGCAGATGGTGATTGACAGAAACTTATGGCTTTCTAATGCGTGGGGAGGAGGGAGCTGCAGAGCACTTATCTCTGAATGGGATGCTTCTCTCAGGCTTCTGGAGCTCAGGGCTTGGAAATCACTGCAGAGGAAGAGGTGGAAAGAATGTAAGAGCCAGAGGTGATGGGTGACCATGGGGGGGTGGGCAGAGCTCTCCAGACAACTGTCCAGTTACTCATTTGAACTCACAGCAATAGAGACAGCACAAACAAGTCCTATGCAAGCTCCGGTGGATGAACCCACACTGGAGAACATTTGGGGATTCAAGTTAGACTCTATAGGCTCTATACAGAGAAAGTACAGTGAACTGGGCTGGGGGAGTATGGGGAGGTATGGATCGGAAAGGGGATATAAATGTTATCAAATTATATTGTATGGAAATTGCAAAAAATCAATAAAAATGCAAAAAATACATTAAAATATATTTTAAAAAAAAAAGATCAGCTCTTTCTCACCAAGCAGCAATCAACTGCCCAATAGTTTTTCGGCTAAGAATGGGGCCTACTGCCCATTTCCACCATTCTATGCTGGGTTTTTGTCTGCTTGAGTTTGTATAGATCTTGTGCATGCTGTCACCATTGCGGTGTTCATTTGAGCAAGGTCTCTGGAACCTATAAGACTCTGTTTCCATATGGTCATACACCTTTTCCCCTGGCTCTTACAATCTTTCTGTCCCCTCTTCTGCAATGGTCCCTGAGCCCTGGGTTCATGGCCCTCTGTTGTATGAGGGAGCTTTATTGATGAGAGTTGAGAGATGCATTAGTATTCTCTCTACCCCTTGTTCTACTATATTCCATGAGTCTTAGGTATAGAGATTCCATTGTAGATGTGTCACTTAGGGTTGGGCATTTACAGACACTTAATCTCTACGTGTAACCAGTTGTGGAACTCTGTAATAGTCTTCGTATGTTACAAAAGAAGCTTCTTTGATGAGTGGTGACTGTAAGTATAAGGATCCATATTTAACACGTAGTAAGAAATTACATTTGTCTAAGGGTTTTCTCTAAGATCTATGACTTCTGCAACTGTGTGTGTTTGCTATGTTTACAGTACCACACTTGAGTTCCCTCCTGTTGAGTGGGCTTTAGGTCCAATTAGGTAGCTGTTGATTATACCCAAGATAAAAGTACCACTATTACCCCAATATAGTTTGCTGTGTTGATCATTGTTGTGGTTATTAGGCCTTAAAGCTGGGGTTGAACCTTCGATTGATGCCCTTAGCAGCTTGCATAGTGTTCTCTAAAACTGTGAGAAGTAAGTGTCAGGGAGGTGGTTTTCAGGTCAGTTCCAGCTCCATTGCTCCAAGTCCTGTGTTAGACTTCAGCAGTAGAATGTTACCTTCAAGTTCTGGGGGACAATAAAGGGCTGTGGCAATAGACTTTAGACCCAAATCTGAGGAGTCTCTTGGACCACCCTGGTCAACAACTCAAAGGGAGGTTTCTCCTGTCTGGCACTGTTTCTTGTTATATAGCCTTCAGCTATACACATGGACTCATGTAGAGAGATTATATGTGTAATTTTTCAGTAGGCTTTTAGACTAATATGATTCCCTCTGGGTTTTTTTTTTACAGCAGCTAGGCATCATTTATTTCTCCTCTCTCTTTCCCTATCTAACCCTCCCCAGTTAAAGTATCCCCATTTCCCCCACTTTTCCCTTTTCCATGTCTCTTATGGTTACCCCACCTCTTGAGCTCCTTCTTCCCCTTCTCCCTGTAGTTCCTTGTATAACCCTCCTCTCCCCCTCTCATTTAAATAACCTCCATTTTACCCATTTCCCTCTTAGTGTTAATTGTCTCCTATTGTTCTTCTCTCAGGTTCCTTCTTTCCCCTTACCACCTGGTTCTTTTCCATTTTCCTGGCTCCTGCAGTTACATCAGGATATATACTCACATATAAGGATTTGGTGCTAGGATCCACAAATGAGGGAGAATTTGTGTTGTTTGTTTTTCTGAGTCCGTGTGACTTCATTTAGTATAACAGTTTCTAGTTCCATCCATTTACCTGCAAATTTCATGATTTCATCTTTCTTTATCACTGAGAACTCCATTGTGTAAATGTAGCACATTTTCATTATCCCTAAGTGAGGGACACTTAGGTTGCTTACATTTCTTAGCTATTGTGAAAACAGCAGCAATAAACATGGATGAACAGGTATCTCTGCAGTAGGATGAGTCCTTTGGCCTGATACGTAATGGTCTAAATTCTTTAAACCATGATTTTCTTTCAGCTCATCAAGGTGGCTTTGGAGAAAAGCCTGGCAACCATGGAGACCCAGAACATATGTTTTCAGCCCTCTTCCCCAGTAGGAGGGGACAGTAACAGGTGTCTTCAGGAGGAAATTCTCCACCTGAGGGCTGAAATCCACCAGTACTTAGAGGAGAAGAGAAAAGCTGAGGCGGAACTCAAGGAGCTAAAGGCTCAAATTGAGGAAGCAGGATTCTCCTCTGTGTCCCACATCAGGTATGCCCCACATTTTCTCCAAATAAGGGGAGCCTACTGACCATGAGCATCCACAGTTAGGAACTTGCCTTGCTGCAACCACAGTATTGGTGCTTCCCCAGGGTTACTTGGTCCATATCACAGGCCCTATGCCTTAATGTATCTACATATTCTTTAAAGAAAAGCTAATGATATTAGATAGTAAGAATCAGTTGTAATTAAAATAATCTGCTCTTAATTCAATATAGCAGTGCTTGTTTTCACTGTCCAAATGCCCCGTGTGTGTGTGTGTGTGTGTGTGTGTGTGTGTGTGTGCGCGCGCGCGCACACACACACAATGGATGGAATCTTCCTTTATTTGTACGGTTGCAACCTTTTAAATCAAGTCCTGTAAATTGCCCTTCCAAGAAGTTTCACAACCAGAAGATTCTGTGAAGAGAAGGATTTAGACAGCACCCTTATCTCCATTCAACTCCCTCCCAGAAGCATAAACAGTGGAATCATGGAATTGCAAATTTAATAATCTTTGCTACTTTAAATTTATAAAAATGCCAGGTATTGATCCATTAGCTAGACTGGACACTCTGGCTTTAAGGAGATTTTTGTCAAAAATGCTGGAGAACATGTTGATACTATAAAGCTAATCTAATCTATTTACTCATTGATCCCTGAGAACCATAATCATCATGACTGATGCTTTAGAGCAGCTATACAGATGAACAACTTCCAATTCAGGACCTATTTTTGCCCTACATATGCATGGTACTTAAACTTCCCTGAATAACATTAGAACTTTAATGCAATGTTGGCATCCAAGCCTGTTGTCCTTGTTTCATAACTGAGAGAACTAATGTCTTAAAAATTCCAAGTGACCTACTCAAGATTTCATAATTCACCCTGGCTATACCCTTTGCTCCTGATTTTTATAAGCAACACACTCTAACCAACTGAGCTAACTGATCTGCTTTATTTCCTCCTGATTTTTTAATACCTAAACCTTTCTTATGTATTCTATATTTCATAAAAATTTAAATTGTATGATATTTAATAGGAAAAGTGCTTGTCTGCAAGAAAGGGGCCCTAAGTTTGATCCCCAGGAGCCATATTCTCCTGTTATCCCAGCGCTGGGAAGGAAGAGGCAAGAGGAGGATCCTTGGGACTTGCTGGCCAGGCAGCCTAGCCAATCTTCAAGATCTGGTTTCAGTTAGAGACCCTGTCTCAAAAGATAAGATGGAGAGCAGTAGAGGAAGACACTAGACATTGAGTTCTGGCCTCCCTGTGTGCACACACACATTTAGTTTTAATTCTTGTGATCATTCTAGATGTCATTTTTTTATGTTGAATTAGCTTAATGATGCCTTCCTTAAGTTTTATGTAGGATTCTATGAGTGTACATTTAGTTGTGCTGTCATGGAGCAATGCATCTCTTAATTCCATATACCATATGTAGAACCCTCATGGATTATTTTCACTTAGAGTTAATAACCTGAAATTCTAGGTTGTTTAACCCACCATCCAATCTTAAGAAACAGTAATGTGAAATGTAGACTCTACCCAGCCCCTCATTTCAAGATGTTGTTGAGTTTTGCTTTTATTAGTTTGCACTGTGCAAACATCAGGGTTTACCTCAAAAAAAAGATGTAACAATAATATTAAATATTCTTTTTGGTAGAATACATACTCCTCTTTCTCTCCTTCCTACATTCTAATTTTGGTAACATACCCACACTATTTTTCTCCATTGAAAAACTGTTTCGTGCATAATCTTTTTGAGTTCTATGACCTAATATATTTTCTTCCATAAATTACACCAAACAAGATCTGCATGAAGCACCAAGATTTTAGGATTCGGAGAAAACTCGACTAGATGCACAGCCAACTATGGATCCTTTAGACTGTGAATTAACGTGTGTGTGTGTGTGTGTGTGTGTGTGTGTGTGTGTGTGTGTGATCTAGCTGCTCAGTGTTCTCAGTTTAGTCAATTTCATTCCTTCCACAAATACAGATGTCTTATGTGGCAAGCACTTGTGACAGTCCTTGGAAATACAGATGAAAAAGATAAGCACAGTACCAACTCTCATGAAGGCTATCACCTACCACGCAGGCCAGAAATATGGCAAATAACCATATAAATATATTTAGATTATAGTTCTGATTGGTGTTATTTATTTTTCTCTATTCCTGAGTCCCAATTTATCATTCCATGATTTTTAAATCAGTACTAATTAATACAATGATAAAATCCACAATAATTTGTCATAGGCAAGATCTAGTTTTTTACTTGACGGTGTAAGTTTGCTTGTGTGTTACAGAGGCCACTGAAAATTAAAACACGTGAGACTATGTGCTTAAGTAAAGAAAAATGGACTAGGAGTCTATTTTTATGCTTTATTAATAATGCTTCCACCAAATAGCCATGGAAGCACATGGTGGGAGGCAAGTCTGCTCTCCCTGACTCCGAGTTTTCTCATGTATGAAGTAAGGGTGTTGTTATAGGTCTCTGAGATTGCTTCATGCTATGAGATGACTCTGATTTTGTTATGCACTGAGATGTGGGTAGAGGGACTGTTAGGAGTGGCGGACCAGGCCAGATCTAGCCCTTTCTTGTGCATTCCCTTCAGGAACACCATGCTGAGCCTTTGCCTTGAGAACGCAGAGTTGAAAGAGCAGATGGGAGAAGCAATGTCTGACGGATGGGAGATGGAGGAAGACAAGGAGAAGGGCGAGGCTATGGTGGAGACTGTGGTCAGCAAAGGGGATCTGAATGAGAATAGCCTTCAGGCTGAGTTCAGAAAGGTCCAGGGGAAGCTGAAGAATGCCCACAACATCATCAACCTCCTCAAAGAACAGCTGGTACTGAGCAGCAAAGAAGGGAATAGTAAACTGACTCCAGAGCTCCTGGCACACCTGGCCAGGGAGATCGACAGGATCAACACAGGTCTACCTGCTTCTCCTGGGAAGCATCAACACCAAGAACAGGAGCCTGTGACCACGAGGCCTTGCCCCAGACCCCAGAGCCTCAGCCTTGGGGCGGCCCTCTCAGTGGATGTCCACCAAGTAAGTGAGGGCATGGGGGAGTAAGCAGTACTTGAAGAAGAGCTGGAGGTAACAGTCTGCATCTTAAACCATTCTGTTCTGTGGGTCAGGAGGTACTGAGGGCAGCAGTGGCCTGCAATCATAAAGGCACTCACTAAGCTTTAGAAAGGATTTTATGAGTATTTCTAGAGCATTTAGTTTTCCAGGTAACACATCCTGCATTGGCAGTGGGTGTTATGACTTGATGCCTGCCTTTGAGGTCTAAACATGATGAGAGGATATGCAAACACAGTAGCTTTTTCATAGGGTGTAACTGCCATAATATTGCGATGCATTGGGTCTTGAGACACACAATGATATCTCTTCCTTATCACTGCCATTTTCACCACGGCTCAGCACATGTGACTGCACCTTGGCCTCAGAGGGCATTTCTCAGATCCTCATAAAGGCGAGAACTTTGCTGAAGAGTCAGTGAGATGGGGAATGCAGAGAGTGCTGAGAAGACCCTAGGACAGGTGCCGGGGTGAGGAGCAGAGGTTCCCACCTCTTCCTTTCAGCAGGCTGTTCTGAAGACTTGATTGGCACTGTGTTATGTGCTGTAGAGAGAAAAATGAATAAAACATTACCCCAGCTCTCCAGGACCTCTGTCTGGAATGCAGGGAACTGCCATGTGATGGAAGGAATCCTGTGGCAGACATGTGAACATATACAGTCCACAGCACACAGTTGGGCAGGTGGCTATCACCATATGGTAGGGAGTCACCCCAGAATGTGCTGACCCTTGTATTGGCCTTTTTCACAGCAAGACAACAAGTCCCAGGCCCAAGACTCTGGGCCTCAGCCAGAATTTAGCCTGCCTGGGTCCACCAAGCACCTGCGTTCCCAACTGGCTCAGTGCAGACAACGCTATCAAGATCTCCAGGAGAAGCTCCTGATCTCAGAAGCCACTGTGTTTGCCCAGGCAAACCAGCTGGAGAAGTACAGAGCCATATTCAGTAAGTATCCCAAGCTCACTGTCACCCAAGTGTCTTCTCCCTGAGAAGTTACTGTCTCACAGGTTTTATTTTTCTTCCCTAACCTCCAAACAATTCAGCCATGACAGCAGTCCTAGACACATGGGAGTCAATGTTTTACTGTGGGAGTCAATGGTTTACTTCAATTTGTGGATGGCCATGAAAACTAAAGGAATTAAACAAGATTTTAAAGTTGCGGTTGAGAATATAGGAAAGATATGGGCTGATGTCTACATTTGCTCGTTTCTGGTAGAATCAGTAAACTGCTTTGATTCTCTTCTTTTCTTGTTTTCCTCTTTCTCTTTACACCACAACAAATTCTTCAAAATCATAGCTCTTTGTGGTGGCACACGCCTGAGTAGGCTATGCGGATGAGACAGAGGCAGGAGGATTGCAAGTCTACATAGCCAATTCCAGGCTAGCTGGGGCTACAGGGAGATCCTGTCTCAAAAAAACAAACAAACAAACAAACAAAAAAACAAAACAACAGTAACAAAAGCCAAAACATACCATCACATTGTTACAGAGTCAGCATTATTCAATAACAGTTCTGCAGGGACAGGAATGTTCTTTATGGCTTTACAGGCAAGTGAAGCATGGTGAGTAGAATTTGGAAAAATTTAGCTTTTACTTAACTTGATATCAAATAGCCACATGTGGATAGGTTCTACCTTATTGGACAGGGCCAAGCTGGATGTCTTGTGACTCTAAGTCAGTTCAGCTTTGTTTAAACATTCACTGAACCCTTGTGGATAAGGACCTGAATAGTTTCCCTAGGGCTTTCTGAGATGGCAGCAGGCAGTCCCTGACTTACCCATTTCTGATTCCAACTGAGCCTCTGTTGCCAGAACAGAGCTCTTCCGCAGAGTGCTCACCCTGGTGGGAAGAAGGCCTCCGTGGGCTTTAGCTTCTCCTATCAGAGACTAAGAAAGCATCTCTCCCAGATTTGGCTCTGACTTCTCTGCCTTGAAGACCAGGGCATGTGCCACTGAGTTGAGGGAATATGTGGGAAGTCCAGGTACTCTTAACACCAGCCATCTCTTCCTGAACAGGTGAATCCTTGGTGAAACAGGACAGCAAGCAGGTCCAGGTGGACCTCCAGGACCTGGGCTACGAGACTTGTGGCCGAAGTGAGAATGAGGCTGAGCGGGAGGAGACCACCAGCCCAGGTATATGCCGAGGATCACCTTCCCCCGTGTAGTCAGTTGTGTTTATATGCCTTAGGCCACTCCCACTGAGTAGTGGGGTGGGGCATTGTGACTGAAGTGGACACAGGACCAAGCAAGGATAGGAACTTTGGAGAACTCTTGTTTGAAATAAGCCTGTTAGAACTTTTAAAATTAGCTTCTAGCATACTATTAATAAAAAATTCTATCTCATTGAAATTGAACCGGGTGTGGTGGTATATACCTTTAATCCCAGAACTTGGGAGGCAGAGGCAGACCTCTGAGTTTGAGGCCAGCTTGGTCTACATAGCAAGTTCTAGGCCAGGGAGACCCTGTCTCAAAAACAAAAAATTCTATCCAATTGATATAGAAAAAAATACTTAGACCTATTTATTAAGGAAGAGCTCTATGAGCTTTAGTATATATGTAAACCATAAGCTTAAAATAAAAATTTTTATTTTATGGGGCTGGAGAAACAGCTCAGCAGTTAAGAACACTGGCTGCTCTTGCCGAGGTCCAGAATTCAAGTCTCAGCATCTACATGGCAGATGACAACAGTCTGCAACTCCTGTTCCAGAGGCTCTGACGCTCTCTTCTGACCCCCGAGGGCATAGCAGGACATGGGTGCCCTTACCATGCAGGGAATGCACTCATACACATAAAATAAAAAGTACTAAATAAAATATTTAATGCAAAATTTTATTTTGCATTAATAAAGGACTGTCATCATAGGGCACCTACAGACTTGAAGTGAGGCAATGTAGTCTGGCTGTTAAGAACAGGGATCCTGAGACCAGTGTGGCTGGTTCAAATCCTCTTTGAACTTCTGTGTGCCTTAGTTTCTTCATCTGCTAAATTGGTAATAAAGCAATTATCTAACCCATTGGGTACTCAAGTCAATGAAATGAATAAGTTCTATTAAAACACTCTAGCACAGGGTGTGGCACCTCACAGAACACTGCACATCATTCTTATCCTGCCTGCCACTGCCCTCGTACAGCTGCTGTCCCTATGCTGATGGGTTTTGTAAGGTCTTATTTCCCCAGACCTTTTTTTCAGGCTACTGTAGCCCAGTATTTTTAAATCATAGTAGTGTTCAGGAGCATTCTAGAAGCTTGTTCTTCAGTTCTTATAGTCATTTTCAGTATCTGAGGCAATGTTATTATCTTTCTTAAGAGGCACTGACTGTGTGTTAAGGACACGAGAGAGTCTGAATTCTGGCTCTTCCATGCATTCATCTGCATGATTTGTGACTAGCTTGCTTACTTCCCCCTGAAGTTTGGTTTCTATAGTCATCAAAATGAGAAGTGACTGTACCTTGCTTACAGAGTTATTGAGAGGATAAGAAATGCTAAATGGGAAGAACCAGCACTCAATAAAGCACTGCTTCAGTCTGGCTCCCATACTGTTCTTGTGACCAGCCTGCTCCTCTGAACAGAGCGGCCACAGCAGCATATCCAGATTTTCTTCAGGAAGATGTCTTTGTGTCTTTCAGAATGTGAGGAGCACAGCAGCCTGAGGCCCACCATGCTCATGGAGGGGCTGGACTCTGAGCAGGGGTGCCTGGATCCAGCCTTGGTCAGCCCCTCTGTGAAGAAATCTTTAGAGAACAAACTAGGGAAACAAGAGGTGTTCCAGGCATATGGAAATTCAGAAGACATCTCTGTCCTACAAAAGGACATCAAAGATCTGAAAACCCAGCTACAGAACGCCAACAAGATTATTCAGAACCTCAGGAGCCGGGTCCGGTCCCTCTCAGCTACAAGTGATTATTCATCTAGTCTGGAAAGACCCCGGAAGCTGAGAGCCATCGCAACCCTCGAGGGGTCTTCACCTCACAGTGTCACTGATGAGGATGAGGGGTGGCTGTCTGATGGCACTGGGGCTTTCTACCCTCCAGGGCTTCAGGCCAAAAAGGATCTAGAGAGCCTCATCCAGAGAGTATCCCAACTAGAGGCCCAGCTCCCGAAAACTGGACTAGAGGGAAAGCTGGCAGAGGAGCTGAGGTCGGCCTCGTGGCCTGGGTAAGGAGGATGCTGTTTGGCCCTTTCTTGATTGATGTCTAATTCTGTGCTTGGAATGGGGCAGCCCAGGCAGCTGGGAGAATATATCCAGGTAGTCCAAATGGGTACTTTTTAAAGTAGTAATAGGGCTGAGGGAAGACAGGTATAAGGATAACCAGCAGTTCACTTGATGGTGGCCCAGTGTCCAGGAGACAGTAGGTCTCCAGGATGTCCTGGTACCTATATATGAGTAAAATGTCAGTATATGTGGTATAGTGTAATGGTAAGACTAGACTCAGACAGCCTGACTGTAAATCCTACTCTGCAACTGATGAGCTGTGTAGCCTGTTTAACTTTTCTCAGCCTATTTGCTTGATGGAATGAAGAACCTACTCAAAGGATAGTAATTAGATTTAATTGAACTAATAAGAATAGTGTCTGGCCTATATTAAGCTCTCAGTGCTGTTTTCCATTATTATCATTATTATTGATACTTTGTGTTTAAAAAAAAACACTGAGTACACACATCTCAGCATCCTCCCTGGTTATCTATTGCTAAGTAACAAATCACTCCAAGCTGTGATGATTATGTTCTGTGGGCTAACTGGATTCTGCTGGGTCTCCCATGTGGCTGCCACCAGGTAAAAGCCATGGTCAGAATGATCTGAAAGTCCTTTCTGAGCTGGCCATGGCTTCTTTATCCATGTCTGGACTAGCTCCAGGCTTCTCTCTTTCTCCATGTGACTCCAGTCCTCCAACACTTCTCTTCTGACTTTGGTTTCTCTTGGTATAATGGACTCAGGGTCCTGTTGCTCCTGTGTGAAAGCTGGTTTTTAGAGCAGAAAGTAGGTGTCATCAAGCTAGTTAAGAACTACTCCTCAGAGCTGGAGAGATGGCTCACTGGATAAGAACACTGCTTGTTCTTGCAGAAGACCTGGGTTCGAATCCCAGTACCTACATGGCAGCTAATAACCATCTGTAACTCCAGTTCCAGGGCATCGGATCCTCTTCTGTTCCTTTGTGGGCACTGCATGACATGGGTGCGCTTACATAAATGCAGACATAACATACACATAAAATATAAAAAATAAAAATAAAGAACTCCTCAACTGGCACAGAAATATCCCCACTGTGTTATCTTGGTTAAAGTGGTTGCGGAACCTTCCAGATTTAAGGCAGTAGAGAGTAGCATCTATCTGCTTTTGGAGGACTGGCAAAGCCATGTTGCGGGAGAGCACATGGCGTGGGAGGTTACATAATGGTCAGCTTTGCAAATGCCATCTACCACGGTGTCCTCTCACAGGAGGAATTCTTACATCTGGTGGTGTTTGGAACAGGAGATGTGAAAGGTCCTAGGGAGACTTAGGATGAAGTGATTCTAGATATTTCTTAACTATCTACTGTGTGTCTATGCTACTGAGGGTATAAGAAATATAAAATGTGGAATTTTCGTACTCTCATGAGGTCGTGATTTCATTTTGAACATTAGACTAACATATATAAAACAGCTGAAGAACATTGTCACCCCCAAATGTATGATGCAGTTGTTTCTTGTTTCTCAGCATAGAATTTACTTTTCTTAAAGCCCTCTCATGGGTGGTGTACATTCAGAGTTGGGGTCTTCCTTGGGTATTTTTCACACCGAGATCTCTACAGAGCCCTTGTAACCTCACTCTTTTTCATTCTTCCTCTCTTCTCTCCTTTCCGCATTAGAAAATATGATTCCCTGATCCAGGATCAGGCTCGAGAACTATCATATCTGCGACAAAAAATTCGAGAAGGGAGAGGAATTTGTTACCTTCTCACCCAACATGCAAAGGACACAGTGAAATCTTTCGAGGACCTCCTCAGGAGCAATGACATCGACTACTATCTGGGCCAGAGCTTCCGGGAACAACTAGCCCAGGGAGGCCAGCTGACAGAGAGGCTCACCAACAAACTCAGCACGAGTAGGTTGGCCACAGGACTTGGAGTGCTTGCAGCCACATGCACGGTCCAGGGCTCAGGTGGCTGCCACATCTCCAGCTTTCTATCCCAGAGTCCAGGTTCCACTTCATCGCTTGAGGGCAGCACCAAGAACACACAGGGCTAGAAATGCAGTGGTTAGAACTATAGAGCCATACATAATCTATACCCTGTAGGCATGAGGACCTAAGTTCACTCCCCAGAACCCACATAACAAACCTGTACATGGTGACACATACTTGTAATCCCAAGACTGAGGAGACAGACAGGCTGGTCCGTGGGGGATGCTGGCTAGCCAGGTTAGCTTAGTTGGTGAGCTCCAGGTTCAGTGAGAGACTCTGTCTCAAAAAAAAAAAAAAAGGCAAACCCAAGGGTGCCATTCTGCTGGCATCTTGGCCTCCCCACACATCAACTTTCCCATAATTTTAACATAAAAAAACACAACAAGTTCCAGGCCATGAGCTCCAGGTTCAGTGAGAGACTCTGTCTCAAAAAAAAAAAAAAAGCAATACCCAAGGTTGCCATCTGACTGTCATCTGGCCTCCACACACATGCACATTCCCATATATTTCACATACATACACACAAACATGCACAAACACACAAAAGTCATAACCTGAAGCACTCAAAATAATTGTCCTGAACATATGTGAGGTGTAATCACTATTCTGTGTGCTTGTGATGTGTGAAGTGGGACCTATCCAGTCTAACTTCTGTTACTTTCTGAATTTGATTTGCAGAGGATCATAAAAGTGAGAAAGAAGAAGCTGGGCTTGAGCCACTGGCCCTCAGGTAACTCAGAAGAGAATCTGGGAAAGGGATTTGGTCAAGAGATCAACAGTAGCCCCCAACTTTACAAATGGAGGGGTGTTGAATATAGTTCATTAATTTATTCATTGAACACTATTGTCTTTTTATCCAAATTCTTTCTTTTCATGTAATTCTACTGCCACATTAATTCTTTGGGCTTGGTAGGCTAGAAACAGTCTTACCTACAAGTGAACCAAGGGGATTTTCCTGCTTATCTCCTGTGAGTTTTATGTAAGGCTCTCCTGTTCTGGGTTACACTGACAGCTAACTTAATATTCACTCAATTTCCTTGGAGAAGAAAGAATCACATGATAGTATGTAGAGAAAGAGGCCCAGGCTGTGCAGATACCTGGAAGGCACCAGTGCCTTGGAGACAACTTTCAGTGAGTCACGCATATAGTACTAAAAAAGATACTGGGTCAGGGTCATTTGTAGCCACTGGTTTGAGCTCTTTGTGTCATGAATGTTCCTTAGACCGTGTGAGTGCTTCTAAAATATCTTTGATAAAGGACATGATGTTTGGTGTTATTTTCTGTTTCTTATTTCTGATCTCTCACAGGCACATAAGTGGAAAACACTTGAGTCAACTAGACGATTCCACTTCCTTAGTCTTAAACGTTGGGATGGCATTTTGTTCTGTGTTTCTCAAGGCTTCCTTTTAATTTTTATACTTGTGGGAGATGATAATAGTCCTAAGACTGCAGCAGTTGAAGGATCACTTGTTAAGTAGCAGTGGTCCTTAGCATATGGTGCAGCCCCTGTACTGGGTAGCTATTGTCTCTTCATTTACGCCCCATCTAATTAGAGGTCAATTATTTCATTATTCTATACAGAATGGTGCCTCTGGCTTACACGGATTTTCCCATAGGCCTTAGGGAGGACTAGCTGGTTTAGGTGACCTTTGTTTCACCTGTGGTCTACCCCTCTCCCCACCAGGCTCAGCAAGGAGCTACAGGAGAAGGAGAAAGTGATTGAAGTCCTGCAGGCCAAGCTGGATGCCCAGTCTCTCTCACCCCCTAGCAGCCATGCCTTGTCTGACTCCCACCGCTCTGCCAGCACTACGTCCTTCCTGTCTGATGAGCTGGAAGCTTGCTCTGACATGGACATAGCCAGCGAATACACACATTATGAAGAGAAGAAGGCGTCACCTGGTGGTCACTCAGGTAGCCGCCACTGTCTGAGCATACCATCTCTGTCTAGACTGAGAGGAGACCTTAGGAACCAGGCCTTATAGTCCACTTTGGCGTGTATCAGGCTGAACAGAACATGGCTCTGGCACCAAGTGCCAAGCACAGGCTCCCATGGGTTAGGATTCTTGCTCTGCTACTGACTCTAGAAGGAATTCTGTCACTCTGGGCTCTGCCAGCGTTACTTGATGGGATACAATTCTGTGTGGAAAGAAGGTGGCCGACCTTCCTCTGTCTGATAGGCCACCTTCTTTAAGAGGGAGTATCTCATCTCTCCTGCAGTGATCTTGCTACTTGAAGTTTCTAGGCAGTGCCCCCGAGTATCTGTGGGTATCTATGGATGCTTCCAGTTTTATGGGATATTTTTGGAGGTACCATTTCATGATTTCAGGACTTTGAGCTCCCACTATCACCCCTAGGGTGGCTTATTTCACTAAAGTAGCTATCTATCTAAAATCAAGAAAATGAATACTGCAAATAGTCCTTGGGCTTGGAGTTTTCCATGAGAGTACGTAAGGCCGAGGTCCCAGTTCTCTGTAGAACACCAAACATTTTCTTTCATTCGTGGGTTTTGTAGATTCCATCCATCATTCAAGTCATTCTGCTGTGTTGTCTTCTAAACCATCAGCAACCAGCGCATCTCAGGGGGTTAAGGCCGAATCCAGCAGCAACCCTATCAGCTTGCCAAGTCCCCAGAATCCTCCCAAGGAGGCCATCCAGACCCATCCAGGTATGCAACAGCCAGTGGGGCAGCAGCTTCCTCTCCCTCAGCAGCCTGTTCGGCTTTCCTTCAGGGACAAAAATGGGAACTCTTAGAGGCCTAAATGCATCACATCCTAGGCCAAGTCAAGGGACATCCTTGCTCATGTTGTCTAATTTTAAAAAAAGAAAAAAGAAAATAGTAGTCTGCAGCAGGCTTTGATCTGCATGCCAGTTTTGACCAACAGTTGACTACTTCTTTTAAAATAAACATTTCATTTCTTTCTCTCATTTGCTCTAGGAAACAAAGGAAATTTTTTTATGGGATTAAAACACTCAAAGAAAAACAACAAAAACTCACATCTACTGATCCCATTCACATTACCCACTTAATTGGTACAAAGTCCTTTTCAGTAGGTAGTACGACTTACTCCATAGATAAATGCTGTTCATTTTGCACTGTTGATGGATTTATGAATGAACTGGCAATCCATGATCTGTACATGGTGCATATCCTAGAGGCACCAAGAGAGGTACAATCACTTTCACAACTCAGCAGAATTGCCAGGGGCTGCATTGTTTACTCACAGCTCTGCTCCAGAGATGGCTAGTCTTTACTTCCTGCCTTCTGCCATGACTGGCTACCTTCAGAGTAGTTTGTGGTGAGGTCTGACTCCCATATAGATGCTCCCCTAAAGCACAGTGCTTTTTTCTGTCGTCTTCCTCCTTCCCAAGGGCAATTCAACCACAATCTTAAGGAGAGGAAGCTTCTTCTCACTACCCAAGCCTGGGCTCCACATTTCTGGACCACTGGAGGCAGCAGCTAGACCAGGAGATCATGAGAGAAAGGCTGTTCATCCAGAGTTGTAGATACCTGCCTAAATGCTTTCAATTCAAAATGAGCCTGTGGTCAGGGGCTTTGAAATCAGAATACTTCTCTAAAAGATGCCTGGGCCATGTCCCTTGGCAGTTTGGGTATCTGCAGTATTGCCGTGATATCAGTCTTATGGGGACAGGGGTATGTTTTAGATGTAATCATTGTCTTCCACATTCGAAGTCCTCCACAGGGCAGTCTTGATTCCTGCCCCTCCCCCATTGACTGCTTGCCCTCTCACTTTTAGTTTAGAAAGAGGAAGCAGATTCAAGCATTGGATTTTCACAGGGTTGCTGAAGATTCATCTGTACAGTGGTTACATAATGAGCACCTGGAAATATTTTTTAATGTAAATTTCCAAGCCCTGCTCCTAGAGTTTACAATTCTGTTGGTCTAGAGAGATCAGACAGGCCACCTCTTAGGAGCACGCTCAACCCTGGCTGGCTTAGCCTGTACCACATGGAGTGATACATGGCAGGCTCATGTCTGGTCAGGGAATGTCCTTATCTTCTCTTTTACCTATGCTTTTCTCTTACTTTCTCTCTAATAATGTCTCCTTTCTCCCTAACTCCTTGTTTCTAGGCTTTCATTTTAACTCCATACCCAAGCCGGCTAGCCTCCCCCAGGCACCACTGCCCTCAACTCCATCCAGCTTCCTGCCTTTCAGCCCCCCTGGTCCTCCCCTCCTTGGTTGCTGTGAGACACCGGTGGTGTCCTTGGCTGAGGCTCAACAGGAGCTGCAGATGCTGCAGAAGCAGCTGGGAGAAAGTGAGCACAGCTGCTGCCTTGGTGTGCTTGAGTGGCCCCCACAGTGTTGCTCTGCATGGCTTTGGCTTGATGGTGGAGCTAGAAAAAGAATGGGCACATGTCACAGTGGAAGATGGAGAGAAAGCTCCGCTTGCTTTTTATTTGAAATATATTTACTGTTATCTTTCAGATATGTGTGCCATTAGTCATAGGATGTGTTTTAAGGCTTTAGACCTGGTGTTCACATACTGCTTACAGAATTGAGTACAACCCAGTATGTTAGTATGCATCCAAGACAGTCTGGGGAAATGATTATTGGCAGGGGGATAGGATACTATGCTTTGCCTTTTCAAGATAACATAACCATTAAAAATACCACATTCTGCTGGGCATGGTGGCTCACACCTTTAATCCAGCTCTCAGGAGACAGAGGCAGGTGGATCTCTGTGAGATCAAGGCCAGCTTGGTTTACATAGTGAGTTCTAGGCCAGCCGGGGCTATAGGGAGACCCTGTCTCTAAAATATATACGGCTGGGGCTGGAGAGATGGCTCAGCGGTTAAGAGCAGTGACTGCTCTTGCAGAGGACCCAGGCTTGATTCCCAGCACCCACATGGTGGCTACGAGCCATCCTTAACTCCAGGTCTAGAGGAATCCATAGCCCTCTTTTGACCTCCGCAGCCCTGCATGACACGTTGCACTCACATACATGAAGGCAATATGCACTCATACACATAAAATAAAAATAATAATAAAATAAAATAAATATAAAAAAATGTATGACCATATTCATGAACACCTTTGTGGGGCTGTTATATTCTTGTGCTGTGAAATGTTCCTAATCAAGTCTAGCAACTGAAATCATCAACCTGAGTCAGGAAGGGTGGTGGTAGAGAGATTCCGAAGCAGAGATGGTACAGCCCTTTCTTCTGTGTCCACGGTTCATCCTACACCATGATAGGAAACAAGAGAGAGGTAGACAGAACCATAAGCATAGACTGTGACATCTGACTGTGAATTCTGTCCTCTGACTCCAAAGCATAATTAATCCTAATGTAATTATTTACACAATTCATAGACTGTGTACTGTCATCTTTAGAAAAAGGATTTGCTGTATGTATAAGCTGGATACCTCACCATAGAATTTTATGTATGCAGTCACTTTAGGCTTAGAAAAAAAGAATGGAAACGTTCACATGATGATTTCACTTTCTAGTAATGCTTTTCATTTCAACTAGAGAGGGTTTGAGGATTATGTTAAAATCACAGTCTGTATCTGTAATGGAACTTGGGTGAGCCAGAGATTGATAGCAAGATTCAGTACACCCCAGGTGTCTACTGGCCAAAGAGCACAGCCAAGAGTTTGTATCTCCAAAGCCCCTGATGGCATTTTGATCCGCCTACTTCTTTTGTCAGCCCTGAAAATGGATAGCTTATCTATTGTGCACCCAGCTTGATTTGCAGAACCAGCTAGTCCAAGGCCATTTTCCAGGAGAGCTTTCTCCTTCTGTAGGCTATGAAGTCTAAGTGAATAAGTCTTCTGTTTTCAGCTTTCCCCTGAATAGCACTATAGGGCTTCCCTACATGACCTTACAGAGTCCTGTGTAAGGTACCATGGGACCAGAACAAGCAGCAAAGGCTCAAGGTAACTGCTAAGTGGGAGAGATGGGCTTGGAGCCTGTCTTCTGCTCCAAGTTCATGGCTTCCCCCATACCTTCGTACTAAGGATAGCTTACTTGCCCTCCTGCTTAGGGTGAGACTGAGCCCTGATGAAACACTCTAGTGAGTCTTTACAACAATGCTTTCTTTCTCTTTAGAGACCAGTGAAAGGCGTTGGCACTTATGACCTAAAATGTATTCTTTTGGCAGTTCTGACCAACAATCGATAGGTGACATATTAGGCCAGGCGTGGTGGCACACACCTTTAATCCCAGCACTTGGGAAGCAGAGGCAGGCAGATCTCTGTGAGTTCAAGGCCAGCCTGGTCTACATAGTGAGTTCCAGGACAGCTGGGGCTACAGGGAGACCCTGTCTCAAAAAGACCAAAAAAAAAATGACATGAATATTCTCTATCTTCCATTTCTTTCCCTCTCTCTCTTTCCTTTATCTTTCCATGTTTGTCAATGGGTCTTTGTCCAAAGGAAAGAATAGAAGGAAAACCCTGTGCATAAAAAGGGTCTGTGTGGGTCAGCATCTGAAGCCCTTGACATGGGTTCAGATGGGTCCAGCCTTGGTAAGGAAGACTGTAGCCTTTCTTTTCCCATATGAAGGTATGGTCCTCTCCAAGAAACCATCACTTAATACTCAGTGTTTATTGTGAATGAGTTTCCATAGGGACACTAGTGCATGGCAGCTTCCCAGGTATGTGTGGGGCTTAAGAGCTCCTGGTACAGTGTCTTTGCATGGTTTAGAGCTGGTGTCACCAGAGGAGACTGAATCATGAGAATACTGATCACTGTAACCAGTAGACTTGGAACCTCCCATGACCTTGGTTAAAAATAAGTTGTCACTGTGCCCAATAGTGCACCCCTTTAATCTCAGCACCTAGGAGGCAGAGACAAGTGTATCTCTGTGAGATACAGGACAGCTTGGTCTATATAGAGAGAGTTCCAGGCCAGCTGGGGCTACAGGGAGACCCTGTATAAATAAATAAATAAATAAATAAATAAATAAATAGGCAAGCAAACTGCCTATAGCACTGATTTCTCCTTTCACTTTGGGGTAAGGTTGTAAAATTATAGATGTTTATATTCCAGCTCCACCCTTTTTAACCCCTAGTGAGCCTAGTGAGTGTCTAGCATTTTGCTCATTGGAGAAGGAAAGATGTATGACAGAACTTCTCAAATTTTGCTGCTATTAGAATCTCCTTGGATGATTTTTTTTAAATGTTTGATGCTCAAGATATATTCCACACCTATTAAGACAAAATCTAAGGTGGTCCAGACGTGTGTATGTTTATATTTTCTCAGGTGATTCCAATATGTAGCCAAATTTGAGAATCAGTTATAATTGAGTATGAAAATTGGCAAGTGGCAATTGTACTAACTCTTCCTAAGAGTCGAAATTGATTAGAGAAAAAGATGAACTCATTCCAGACTGCTTCAGGGGAGCTGCCTGACTATTCTGCCCATGATGATTGTATGGAGGAGAAATCAGTCAAAACTGTGGCCTTGTGCACCTCTTTACACTTTCTCCTTTCTTTCCTGTACTGAGCTTAAAAAAAATAGAAGCAGAATCGAAAGCTTGCATAGGGGTCCTCCCTTCAAGGAAAGGCCTGTGGTTTCATAGGATCTGTGGAGGCGTCAGCCCAGGAAACAAAAGGTGTCATTTCCCTCCTTGATAGGTTCAGTGATTCTTTGAAAGGTTTATGACACTTTTTAGTTCCTCAATTCTTTTCAACTGATCCATATTATTACTTGTTCTATACAGGGTTACCCCACCCTCAGCAAAGAATTCTTCAGTCTGGAAAAAATCTAGCTATATTCCATACCCCCTTCTTTCCTCTGACATCCCCAAAGGAGGAATGGAAAGATTGACTGGTTAGTTTTAGGGGAAGGCAAATATTCGCAGGCAAACAGATAGTCCTGCTTATGGGTATGCCTAGTCAGATATCCCATCATACTTTTCACCCCTAACTTTGGTGCTGGGATTCAAACCTTTGACGTTTTGGGGGTGGTTTCCTTGTTAACCTTAGTCTTTAATGGCTGCTCTATCCCTCCAGCCCATTCACCCCTAACTTTGGGAGTGACTCCTTCTTGAACTTCCCTGGGTTCTGTCATGTGGAATGTCATTAGGAGCCAGGGGTGGGGCTCTTGTACTTATCCTTCGCATGCACAGGTGGCTTGCACATCCTTCATCCATCCTCTACCTCTCGTGTCTCATCCTAGGCCATGTAAAGGGTGAACGTCAGGCTTGAAGCTTTGAAACTTTGTCTAAACGGTGTCCCACAGTGACCTGAGACATACTTGCTGGTTGTAGTTATCCTCAGCAGTCTCATAGTCCTTGTTGGTCCTGGACTTCTGATACCCTGTTTGTTTCTCACTCCTGTTTCTTTCTGCCTAGGTGTTAGTGCTGCTCCTCCTGTTTCCACAGCTACACTGCTGAGCAATCATTCGGAAGCTAGCTCTTCTCACTACCTCAACCCTGCCCAGCCCCACTCTCCTACAAGGAGCCCCATAGAACTGGGCAGAATCCTGGAGCCCGGTTACCTGGGTAGCAGTGGCCAGTGGGACATGATGAGGCCTCAGAAAGGGAGCATCTCTGGGGACCTCTCCTCAGGCTCCTCGATGTACCAGCTTAACGCCAAACCCACAGGTAAAGCACAGAGCTGGGCCTCGCTCCCATCGATTAAGGATTTCATAGAAAGGACACAACTTCTCCAGCCTACAAATACGTCCCATGTAAAAAACCCACTCACACCAAATGAAGGGGTTCAGCTACGCAAGCAAATCCTGGAATGTAGCTTGTTTCCAACACTAAGACAATTGTGATTTTTCAGAAAAAGACTAAGCCCAAAGTGAAATAGTTGACTTGATGTAATCTGTCATTAGCATCTCTTTGCTTACCTTTCTGCATGCTTTTTATTTTCTGAAATAATCCACCTTCAGGCTATCCTTTCTTCCCCTGTATTAAAAGTGACTTAGGGAAGCACTGTGTATCAGTCCTTAGATACAAGGGCCGGTTGAAGGTGTTGTACTTTTACCTTAGGCTTTCCCTTCAAGTGGGAAAGGATGGGGATTGCTAAAAACCGTCGAGCCATATATCAGAAAGAATAAGGGCACTAAAAAAGGCCATAAGGCCTTCCCTGTTGCCCTCAAAACCACACCTAGGAGGTGGCATGTCTTGCCAGATGGCAGTCAGGCCCTGTGCAGAGCCATTAGTTATTTTTCTAAGTGATATGGAGCTCCCTTTCAATAACAAACCTGTGTGTGGGTGGAGACCCATGGGCTTTCCTTAGCAAGGGGCCATCCTGTGCTTGAAAAGCTCTCTTCTCTTTAAGGACATTGCCTGTGTCCCATGGGTGCCTGTGTGAAAGAACGCAGTTGGCAGAATGAGGGTAAAGCTTAGGGACTAGGCTGAGGGTCCATGGCAAGGGCTCTACCCCAACCCCAGTAACAAGCGCTCTATTTCCTACCTCTGTCCATGTACTGGGATGGCTGCAGGTGCTGACCTGCTGGAAGAGCACCTAGGTGAGATCCGAAACCTGCGCCAGCGCCTAGAGGAGTCCATCTGTGTCAATGACCGGCTGCGGGAGCAGCTGCAGCACCGGCTGAGCTCCACGGCCCGGGAAAGCGGTAGGTAGGCAGGGAGGCAGCTTCTGAAGGTGAAGGCCGGTAGGCAGAGGCTTAAGCTGTCAAAGCACTTTGATATACTCTACTTGCTTCTCATGGTCAGTCCCAGAAGGTAGGGCAAGTATTTCTTACTTTATGGATGTAGCTGAACTCAGAGTGACTTTCCTCAAGGCCAGTTCCTCCTTTTGTCCTTAATCTCTTAATATACTACCTGCTGATTCTCTGCATCCTTGTAATTGGTAAGTGGTAGAGCCTGGTCTGTGAAGACCCATCCTCAACCACTTCAACGTGGTGGCCTTTCTTCCTCATCTACCCCAAGACGCTGTTGTTTGGAAGTCACCCTGTGTATGCACAGTTGTCCCTTCCACCAAGCAGCCCCAGCTAGTTAGGGAGAAAGAGAGTCCAACATAAAACAGCTTCATATATGAATAGATATGTAAAACCTGGCACCCAGCATTGTGCTTTAGTAAATCCCAGGCTTTGGGGGCCAGGACTTTCTGCTGGGTCAGGACAGCAGATCTTTGTGAGAATGGGACAGCATCTGTTACATGGGGCATGTGTGTGTTTTCTGGAACAGGCTCCACCTCTCACTTCTACAGTCAGGGCCTGGAGTCCATGCCTCAGCTCTACAATGAGAACAGAGCCCTAAGGGAAGAAAACCGAAGCCTGCAGGCTCAGCTGAGTCATGCTTCCAGAGGTGGGTTGTGTAAGATCATCCACTGCAGTCACTCCTGGCTCTCTTTCCTCCCTGGCCATGCCAATCACCAGTTGAAGAAGTAAAGAGAAGGCTGACATAACAACTACCCAGAATTCCACTGCCATTTTCAGTCTACAAAGGGCTACTCCTTAAGGGCCCCAACCATGGCCCTCAGACTCTTAGACTCCAGGAGGGCTTGAATGGCTGTAGGAAACCCCACATTGGTCCAAGACCAGTGGCTGTCAACCCAGCTGTTAGCCTGGGATCTGTTCTACCTCCCACTTACAGCTGGCTAGGACCCCAAAAAGAGGGAATATGTGTGCCTGTGTTGTGTCTCACACTTCTCCAGTCTGTAGTGCAGCCCTGTACAGATCTCTCAGTTCTGCTCAGCCATCCCTCTGCCTCCTCCCACATCCCTCACTTGGGCTGCTCTCTGGTCAGTCCTCCTATGGCTCTATGTGGAGAGGGGATAATATAACTGCTAGAACTTTCCCAACCTTATTTGATGGTCAGGTATAGGTGGGCCTCATTTTTCATGTGGCCTGGGAGGTAGATGAGTTTAGTGTTAGTTGACTCGATTAAATCAATGTATTACTTATAAACAATTATTTTTACTTATAAATATTTATTGAACATCCATAAAAAGCTATAAAAGTAATATATAAAAGGATTAAGCCTAGAATTAAGGATTGTTTATGGAAGCTAAAGGCAGGAAGAAATTTTCGAAGGTAGCTATGCTAGTGCAAGAAGGCCTGAGAGGCAAGGGTCCTGCATGGGGAAGATAAGCAAAGTGGATGGATAGAGAGAAGGCAGAGGGAGCAAACGACCACTGTGCACTTGAGGAGAGTAGAATAGTCCTCGCAGGTGAGAATAGTAAGAGGTTTTGACAAGTACAATTTGCCAGGCCCAGGAACTGTACCCAAGGACTGACTGAACCTGCAGCTTATATGCAGAGTCCCTGTAGATTATCTTTGAGAAGTTTGATCAGAGAGATGCCCCAAAGCCATACTGTCAAATGTCCCAATTTTAAAATGATGAAAAACAATATATTCTAAAAACAATAAATGGGAAATGAGTGTCGATCTTTGATAATATTCAAGATGGACACTCGGATGTTCATCTAGAAAATGGTGAGCTTTTGCATCCAGGCTTTCTTCTCTAAGAACAAGGGCAGCCGTAGTTAAACAGAGGATCAGAAATGACTGTTCCCCAGCACATGTGGGCCCACCAAGTGAACTGCCCACCTATACAGGTCCCTCCCACCCCTGGCTTCAGATTTGCCTGGGCTTGTCCTACTGAGCTTTGGGCCCACGCTATAAACACCATGTCCCATCACCAGGGCACTCTCAGGAAACAGAATGTTTACGAGAAGCCCTGCTTTCCTCTCGATCCCAGCTTCAAGAGCTGGAGAAGGAGCTGGAACAGCAGAAAGTCGAGCGGCAACAGCTTCTGGAAGACTTGCAGGAAAAACAGCAAGAGATCTTGCATTTCCAGGAGGAACGTCTGTCCCTCCAGGAAAATGACTCCAGGTAGGAGGGGCCTTTGATAGGGAAGGGGCCCCCATTTTCAGTGCAGAGGGACATTGACAAGACAGTAGCATCCTTTGGAAACCTCAGTCTCCTGCTATTCCTGCTTCATAGGTGACTTGGAGCAAAAGGAAGCCTATTTTGAGCAAAAAGAATAGCTTTTGCACCCCAAAGTAGAGAGATGCAATCCTATTACAAAGATTTCCGTGTATCAGAGACTGGCAGGCAAACATCCCTGTGCTTCCAATTAGACATAGGATACCACTCTCACCAAAAACTGGAAGCTGCTACCCCACTGAAGCACTCTGCCTGTCAGTTTGAAGAGCACTGTAAGGGCAGTGAGGAGCCTGTGATGGGCCTGTGCTGCCGCCAGCCAGGACCTAATGCTCCAACATTAGCAATGCTCACTCACCTTCTGTCCCAGACTCTGCCTCCTCATCTGCAGAGTGATAGCCAGCCCGACTCAGGAGTTGATATCTGGGGCTAAGATTCCCTGAGGCAAAGGTTGGCTCACAGCTTACTGACCCAATGGGGCTGAGTGGCCCTGCCAGCTCAGAGGACCTTGCCTCTCTCTGGCAGGCTGCAGCACAAGCTGGCCCTCCTACAGCAACAGTGTGAGGAGAAGCAGCAGCTCTTCCAGTCCCTGCAGTCAGAGCTACAGATCTACGAGTCGCTTTGTGGAAATCCTAAGAAGGACCTGAAAGGTATGAGCCCCTTCTCCCTTCTGCTATACAGCCCGAAGGTGAGGTACTGTTGACCCAAGCAGATCCAGCCTGGGGACCCTTAATGACAAGCCACACAAATCAGACTTCATCCACTTAAGCAGTCTGAAACAAATTAATCAAGGGTTAGATTATCCTCTTTGTTTGGAGACAGGGTCTCCCTATAGCCCCAGTTGGCCTGGAACTCAATGTGTAGACCAGGTTGGCCTAGAACTCATAAAGATCCACCTGCCTTTGCCTCCCAAGTGCTGGGATTAAAGGTGTGCGCCACCGTGCCCAGCTATATGTTTTGTTTAACATAAAGACCTTTACGTTTGTTTAACACAAAGACCTGTCCTAGTGCTATCCCCAGTTGAAAGGATTTCAAATATCCTAAATGACAGGCTAGAACAGTTCATACAGCCAACATCTCCCCTTCTTCCCTTCCCCAGTGAAGAAATGGACTCAAAACCAAAAGGGGGAAAAAGCTGTATGAAATACCACTAATAGAACTTAAATTTCAGACGTAGCTTTAAATATTAAGCACTGTATTGAGCAATTTTTCCATCTGCTGAAATAAAAATCTAGTATTTGAGAATCTTGGTATATTTCCCTATTCTTTGAATGGGGAAAAGTTTTCAAATCTTCATGTTAATGAGTTACAGCAGGTTATGACAGGGCTGATATCAATGGGATGAGACTCAGTGAAGATAAAAAATGAAATCAAGCGGTGTAGACCAGGCTGACCTCATCTCAGAGATCTGCCTGCCTGCCTCGTGAGTGCTGGGATTAAAGGCATTCACCACCCCATCCAGGTGAAAAATCGTATTTTCTTAAAGCTGGATCTAATTTCTAAGTTTGCTAAAGAGAAAGTTAATTAGAACTTAAAGTATAGGGGGCTCACCAGACTGAGAAATGGCTAAAGTTCAAAGCCATTTGCATGTGGGCTTGGTCTGCCTGTAAAGGAAACTAGGTATTAGAGGCGCGAGAAGACGGGTTAGTGGAAAGGGCAGTTGCTAGGATAAAGAAAGCCTAAAAACCAAGAGAAAAATTTACTTTCAAGGAAAGTAAATCCATGTTGAAAACAGAATTTTTTTTGTATTTTTATATTTTGGCTCCTGAAAAGGCTGGCAAAGAACAGTAACAGTGCAAACAATTAGAATATTTCTTCAAAAACAGTTTTTAAAATGTAAAACATTAAGGAATTTTAACAAACCAAACTTCTGTTAACATAGAAAAATTTTTCACTAGAGTTAGGCAGCCACTCCAAATGGCATGGCAAAACGGCTCTGGTATAAAGGAAATAAAATACCACACAAAAACCCAAAACAAAACTAAAACATTTCAAATTAAATCTGTTAGACTAGAAGATTCCAACAACATATTTCTGTCCATTACAAAAGCATTTTAAAATCCAAATTTCAAAGGCACCTAAGTTGTATTATAAGTGAAACTTTGCTC